TATTAAATACGGGAACAGCACAATGCCTTGTAAGTATATTTGGGAAATTATAAACAAAACTCAGATCACACCAAAAATATCGTGGAAAATAAGGAAAGAAACCTCACCATACAACAATCAATCCCAAAACTCCAAACACGGCTTGGAGGTAAAAACAGCTATAATTAACTTCCCAGGCAAAAAAACAAACTACTAAATAAACGATCAGAACTCAAAATGCAAACACGAAAACAAATTTTACTACGTTACTTAAACAGTGGAAACTGAAAAAAGAAGGAAAAACATGTAAAATAAATTAATCGAAATAAATGAATAAATAAAGAAAATAATAAAAAAATTCTCAAACCACTCCCGCCAAAATAACCGATAGAATAGACTACACAAAATGTAATAAAGTACCGCAATCCACCAGTGATCTCTATATATAGATAGTCTAGTGAAATATAACACACGTTGCCTGATGATTGCGTTACCATGAAACACGCTGTCGCCTCTGAGTACTGACATCAATTTTCACTTGTGTGTTTGTATATATATATATATATATATATATATATATATATATATCAAACAAAATAATCGGAAATGAGAACACTCAAATAAATATTTACTTTGTTACTTAAATACCAATATAAACAGAGACCCACAACATCTACTGAATCACACTCAAATAGAAACCAGATAAAAATATACATACAGAGACACTTAAACACATACACACAAACACATACACGCGAGGTCAAACAACTAAACACGGCGTAAAAAAAACCAAGCGGGCATACATATCAACACAATAAATTAGGTCAACACAATATAGTATAAAGATATAATCCCGTAGAAAGCAATTAAATAAAATACGACCAGAAAGAGGTCACCACCCTCCCCGCACCAAAAAATCATACCACTTAAGTAATAACAACATTAAATGAAAAACCACACACCTATAAAAAGATATCAAATTACACCAAACCACAGATAAATACGGCAAAATTGAGAAAAAGCAGCAGAAAAGGCAACAAGCCCTGAAGAGTGAACTTGGTACCTTCATGGGCTCACGAAATTATGTAGTAGGCAATACTGAACCAACACCACTCAACGTAGTGATAAAACTTTCCAAATTATATATATATATATATATATATATATATATATATATATATATATGTTAAAATTTTATCATATAGACAAAACCATTTTACTCAGAACAATGAAGCAATTTGGTTTCAGTGCATTTCAACTCCACTTCCACGGGTGAGAATCGAAAATATATACTTAATAATCTGATGCATGATTTCATCATCTAAAGTTCCACTGTAGTTGACTTTGCTACTAAGATAGGTGAAAGACTTTACAAAGTTCGTGGGTTTGTCTTCTACTTTCAATGGTCTCTCAGGAAATTTGTAGACTGGTGGCTTTTGTTTCTCACCACAGAATTGCTTCGGAGTAGGACAAGGTTGGTGCACTACTTCAGTTTTCTTTATGCTAAGTGTAAGACCAACGGTTTTACATACAGAAGAGAATCGATTTATTAGATGTTGTTATATATATATATATATATATATATATATATATATATTAATTTTAATAAAGGTGCAATCAGTTTACAAATATGGTGATAAGTGACAGAAAATTTACCAGCAAAAAAGAATTCGCTTATCACCATATTTGTACAAGAACACACAATTGTAAAATTTAAAATCAAACTCAGCGTTGCTACTGCACGCTCCAAAAACAATGACTCATTTCTAATAGCATTTTTCGGATACAACAATACATATATTTTCGTTGTCCTCTTATTACTGAGAGTAAAAAATAAGAACTCATGCAACAGAAATTTATAAAAACAAGGATCTTTTCATTCATAACAGGTACGGGGTTTTTGTATATTATTTGAATTGTTTGCGACGATGGATTTCTCGCCAATTAAATCATTAACCTTTGTATTTGTTTTTGTATGAATAATTCATGAATTTGTAAACTGATTGCACCTTTATTGAAATTAAAATAACTGATCCAAGTGCAACTTTTGGATAATAAGTGCGACATTACTGTAATTATTAAACAATATAGTTCATGCCACTTTGACAGAAAATTTACCAGTAAAAAAGAATTCGCTGATCACCATATTTGTACAAGAACGCACAATTGTAAAATTTAAAATCAAACTCAGCGTTGCTACTGCACGCTCCAAAAACAATAACTCATTTCTAGTAGCATTTTTCGGATACAACAATACATATATTTTCGTTGTGCTCTTATTACTGAGAGTAAAAACAAGAACAACATCTATTCCATACCTGAAGATGCCTGTAGGAACAGACGAAAGCTTGTAGTAAAAATAAGAACTAATGCAACAGAAATTTATAAAAACAAGGATCTTTTCATTCATAACAGGTTCGGGGTTTTTGTATATTATTTGAATTGTTGCGACGATGGATTTCTCGCCAATTAAATCATTAACCTTTGTATTTGTTTTTGTATGAATAATTCATGAATTTGTAAAATTATATATATATATATATATATATATATATATATATATATATACTGATTGAGGCGCAGTATTTATTAAGTATGGAATAGTCCATTATTATTATTATGGGTAAGATCCCATAACAATATATATATATATATATATATATATATATATATATATATATGAAATTTACATATTTATTCGCTTAATTATTGCTCTAACATCGGTATCGAGCCCTCATTTGAATTAATGCTGTTAGAATTTATATATTATATATATAATATAAATTTATATATATATATATATATATATATATATATATATATATATATATATATATATAAAAAAATACTAGTTAGAATAAACTAAAACCATCAACTCCAAAATTGAATAAATATGTTTAATTATCTACCCAAACCAAAACAAAACTATTAAACAAGCGATATAAGCAATTTTTTACTCAATAAAAAAAATAAATAAAAGGAAACACCGATAAGATAAGAAATAAAAATAAAATATAAAAATAAATAATTATATATAATATTTTATATAAATATAAAATAAAATATTATAAATAATTATATATAATATTATATATATATATTATAATAATATAAATATATATAATAAATAAACAAATAAACGACTTCCGGTAAAATAACCGCCAAAAAAGACTGCCCACAATGCACCACTGACCCGTATATATAAATAGCCGAACAAAATAACAGCACTCGTCGCCTGACGATTGCGTCCAGCATGAAACAGACTGTCGCTTCTAAATGTTGACTTCAATGTTCACTTATATATATATATATATATATATATATATATATATATATATATATATATTATTGTTAGCAAAAAAAGATGGTAAAGAAAATAAAATAAAAAATAAGTAAAGGAAATACTGAGAGGAAAAGCGTATTAATATCTATTAACATCTACACACATATACAAACGCATATACACACATGTATACACAGCCACATATGTATATATCTATCCACACATATACATCTTTACATACATACACACATATATATACACATACACATACATATATAAATACACATACACGTGCACACACACACATATATATATATATATATATATATATATATATATATATATATATTAAATTGATATTTAAAAGTTAAGAAATCTTTTCATATAATATTATTAACACTATTTTTATATTATTTTGATATTTTAATATTGTTATATGCTACATATAAAAATATCTGCCGTTTCTTAAATCTTTAATCTTTAATCTACATATATATATATATATATATATATATATATATATATATATATATATATATATATATATATATATATGTGTGTGTGTGTGTATATCTTTAATCAAGTCATGACAGTTATACTATGACCACCTCGAGAGTGCGAATATATATACACACATACACATACATAAATAAATACACATACACGTGCACACACACACACATATATATATATATATATATTAAATTGATATTTAAAAGTTAAGAAATCTTTTCATATAATATTATTAACACTATTTGTTTTATTAACTAACTGATTTATTTTACACACACACACACATATATATATATATATATATATATATATGTGTGTGTGTGTGTGTGTACATTGTACATAAGTGCACATAACTGTGTATACAATTTTATTTTTTACATTTCATCTTATTATTATATATTCCATTTTTTCCTCCTCAGTTTTTTTTCATCACATATTCTAAGAACAGCCCATCTTTCTACACCTGAGATCTTTGTCCGACAATTTTTGTTACAATTTTCTACACGCGGGACATCTTTTCCATTGCCCAACCTATAACTGTCTTCATCTATGTTTACAGTCTCACTCCCCAGACGGTACACACTAGTAATAATAGACCTGCCTAACACTTTTACACCGATCAAAATTCTAAATTTATGCTTATTTTTATAAAATGATTCGCACATCGAGGAATCAAAGATCGGGTTTTTGCTAACAATACGATTTCCACCAGAAAATACACCATTTACAAAAACATCTATCGCTGAGTAATTCCCATTTCTCTGTTTACTCTTCGGTCCGTTGAAGAAGGACACAGCCGTGTCCGAAAATTCCGAACTTAAAACTTTTCTTTTCTTTCTTCATTTCTGTCATATGATTAATAATTAATATTTAATAAATATTTGTCGTACTGTCTTTGTTTTATTAAGTAACCGATTTATTTTACACACACACAGACACACAGACACATACACACACACACACGCACACACACACACACACATATATATGTGTGTGTGTGTATGTGTGTGCCATTTGTTCTTACATGGAAAGGAGAGGAAAGATTCTTTCTCAGCATCTGCAAATACCCCCCCCATCCCCTTGAAGGTCTTGCCAACTACCCAAGTCAGATGAATGAAGCATTTGTTATGACAAGCAGACATTACAGTAAATTCCTCGAGAGAACAAATGTATCAGTAGAAAACGCCCAAATTAGAAACTAAATTTGGGAAGGAAATCAACTCACCGGACATTTCAAGAGACAAACAAAACAAAGGTGGAAGTATCGTCGCTTCCATAAAGGTTCTTGACGACTATCCAAGACTGAGGAATAGAACATCTGTTTTGACAGCCAGACACTACCGAAACATTCTCAAGAGAACGAATGGTTAAGTAGAAAACGACAAAATTAGAAAACTAAATTTGGGAATGAAAACAACACTTCGGACATTTCAAAAACTACCAAAGCACATTAGAAGCAGATTAGACCACAGGGATATGCAAACGCAGAGGACATCTGAAAAAAAAACAGTATCATCATTCGCACTCTCAAGGTGGTCATAGTATAACTGTCATGACTTGATTAAGAAGATACACACACACACATATATATATGTAATATTAAAGATTAAAGATTTAAGAAACGGCAGATATTTTTATATGTAGCATATAACAATATTAAAAATATCAAAATAATATAAAAAATAGTGTTAATAATATTATATGAAAAGATTTCTTAACTTTTAAATATCAATTTTATTCCGATATTGATGTTTCTTGGTAAAATTTCCAGTCTTCAAGGTTGGTGGCTTTAAATGAAATTTACATTTTTTTAAAAATAATTTTTAGAATTTTCAAGAATAATTTAAAAAAAGAAATGGTAATATCGTTTAATGCCACACCCCCAGAGATCTGGAAATTTTACCCAGAAACTTTGATGTCGGGAGAAAATTGATGTTTAAAAGTAATATATATATATATAAGAAAATATATGGATATAAATCCGACAGTATGAAGAAAAATATATACGGAAAAAACAAACAAAAATCCTTACATACAATTATAATAATGTTATAATTTATGAATATGTCCTGAAGATGGTTTATTAGACCGAAACGTCCGACGTTGACATATTAACATTAAAACAGCATAATTGTATATGATTTTTGTTTGTTTTTTCCGTATATATTTTTCTTTATATATATATATATAACACATACACATCTACACACATATACAAGCACATATACACACATGTATACACAGCCACATATGTATATATATCCAGACACATACACACACACACACACACACACACACACACACATATATATATATATATATATATATATATATATATATATATATATATATATTTACATACATACACACATATATATATACACATACACATATATATATAAATATACATACAGACACACACACACACACATATATATATGCATATATATATATATATATATATATATACATATATATATAAATATATATATATATATACATACATGCATATATATATACATACATGCGCACATACACACACGTATATATAGTGGCATTATCCGCCATCTTCTGTCTTATAAAACACATACATACATATATATATATATATATATATATATATATATATATATATGTGTGTGTGTGTGTGTGTGTGTGTGTATGTGTGTATACATTATATATATGTATATATATATATATATATATATATATTTACATACGCTCTATTTATGATATTGAGCACTTTATCCCATAAATATAGCACACCATAAAACTATATTTCTGCATATATATATATATATATATATATATATATATATATATATATATATAGAGAGAGAGAGAGAGAGAGAGAGAGAGAGAGAGAGAAAGAGAGAGAGAAAGCAACAGGGAGAAATAACGATATACATATATTTTTATATATCATAAAAAGTACTGGGGAAAATGTATGACAAATTAGAAGAAGTTTACTTCAGGATTTCATTGCAGTAACTTTCTTATTTTGGCGCCACTACACGTGACCATGAACGAGGAATCCTTAAGAATTTCAGAATTTTTTTTATATAGACTCTTTTTCTTTTAGTTTCCACCATCCATCGTTCGGGCACATTTGCAGTCGTGTCAATATAACAAATTTAGCGCGATGAAGTCTTAAAGGTGAAACGCGTCACAATTAAACTTTTTTTCATTTTGTCGTTTTTTTTTTCACAATATATAAAGATATAATAGAATGAGAAGAATTTCGTGAGGAGAAAGGACAATAAAAGAACAGTTTTCGAAAACGGAAGATGGCGATAATGTCACTAAGACGCATGAGGTTGCACGAAGCGAAAGTGAATGACAAGAATATAGTGAGTAACTAGAAATATAAAAACATTTCAGGAAGACTGAGGATGGCGATAATGCCACTAAGACGCAAAGGGTTAATGGGTGTGGAAGAGAATGAGAAGATTTTAATGATGAGAAATGACAATAAAAGAACAGGTTTCAGGAAGAGGGAGATGGCAACAATGCCACTAAGACGCAAGCGGTTACTGGGAGTGAAAAAGAATGAGAAAACTTTAATGAGAAGAAAGGTCAATAAAAGAACAGGTTTCAGGAAGACAGAAGATGGTGATAATGTTACTAAGACGCAAGGGGTTACTGGGAGTGAAAGAGAATGAGAAGACTTTAGTGAGGAGAAAGGACAATAAAAAAACAGGTTTCAGGAAGACAGAAGATGGCGATAATGCCACTAAGACGCAAAGGGTTGCTGAGAGTGAAAGAGAATGAGAGGCCATTAGTGAGGAGAAAGCACAATAATTGAACACGTTTCAGGAAGACAGAAGATGGCGATAATGCCACTAAGACGCAAGGGGTTACTGGGAGTTAAAGAGAACGAGAACACTTTAATGAGGAGAAAGGACAATAAAAGTGTTTCAGAACCGGAAGAAGGCCAACCCCCAAATCAGACCCCTTTTCCCTTTATTGCTAAACGTACTGCCTGGATAGTTCCCTGAACAATATAATCTTCAGATCCTTATATTTCCAACTTATCCTCATAATCCTCCATTCTTACCTCTTTCTCTGTAATTCAAGTGATACATTTTAACCGTGGATCTCTATACAGAGTGTCTCTCGCGCCTTATAGCAGTTAAATATTATTAATAATAAAGATTGGTACACATGCACTAATATAAATTTTCTCTCAAACATAACCATTTTAACAGTGACTACCTTCATAGATTGCCTCAACAGCTTGAGTATACACTGATATAAAAAAAAATATTTCAACGCATGCCTGAGTATAAATTTCCTGTCATGGTTCTACCAGTGTCTAACGCATAACTTTTTCCAAATAATTCTTGTATCTATTCTCAGAATTATTGCAGGATGTGTTGTAGGAACGTCCACGTCCGTTCTGCAACCAACCTTTTCAGTTTAGTGATTAGACTGAACTGATCGGAGCATGTAAAGTCGCTCAGGGTGTGGACAAATGTCCATTAAAACATTTCTTGAATGACAGCCACAACCTATTTCAACAAATCTGACATCAGTGTGGGACAACATCGGACGGAAGTGCTGTGCGCATGTCAAGAGTATGTTGGTGGGAGATGAGGCGTTCTTTTTATCCGGTGAGAACGGAAGTGCTGACAAAAACACTTCCGGCTGTCTCTCTCTCTCTCTCTCTCTCTCTCTCTTTCTCTCTCTCTGGATAAGATGTATTACTTTTAGAGAGGATTGCATTGAATTTAGAGAAAATTCCTTGAATCTGAAATGTCTGCCGTGTAGAAGAAGGAATGTAAATAATTGAAATAATCTGATGGAGAAAATATTGGAGCGAAGAAATTTCTGAAAGAGGAATTTCTAAGAACATCTGTCATGGCGGGAACGAAGAATTGGGAAGTACTCGTTGTGTGTTCAGACACGGACACAAAATAAAACGTAATATCAGAAAATAATATTCACACAACTAACTGAAGTAAAAGTTATTTAAGAGTATACTTACGAATTCAATCAATTGATATGAAAAAAAAATCTCTGGACTAAGTTGATACTTCGACATAAGTGCCATTATCTTCCATCGTGTGATAATATATTTTACGCGTATGAATTAATAATATCATTATTCAATTATTAAATATATAGCGTATATACTCGACTAGCATGCGATATTTGAAGACCTAATTTTGAAGCTAATTTTAAAGGGGTCGCATTATACACGAGATATAAAATTAGCTTTATTCTAAATTTATTTCACTTCAAAATATTGAGAGTTGATTGATAAGCCAGGTCACCAATCATATGAATAAAACTGCGATCAGATGAAATAAAAAATATTATATAAAATGAATTACCGTATATGCTTGCGGTCTTGTGCATATCCCACCTTGTGGGGAGGATTGGATATATACCTGTTGCACCCACATCAAGCAATTCGCTGCTAGGCTCGTGACACACTTGTCGACCTTTCTTCTTTTCAGGCAGATAGTAACCTAAACGAGGCTATGCCTACGGGCAGTGTCTCGTCTGGGTGGGTAAACAAACCCGACACCGTGTATGCGGGGTCTAACGGGAATTTTTACGTGAGACGACGGGCTCGGGATCGCCCCACATAAAAACCAGCCTTGGTCCACATCTCTCATTGTGGGAAGAATTGGGTAAATACCAATTGCTTTGGAGTCAGTCTTCATACTAAGTATACTAGCGTTACGGTAAGTATAGAGATTACTTATGTGAATTAAGTTATACCAATTGTCTGTCTGTCTGTCTCTCTGTGAAGATCTATTTATCTATCTATCTATCTATCTATCTATCTAAGATTGCTTATTATCTGTCTATATATCTATTTCAGTTTGTTTATATCTATATGAATTTGTCTATCTATCTATCTATTTTAAGACATCTTTTATGTTTATACATTCTTTTTATAGATACAAATATTTAAGTAAATGTTGTTTTTATAATAAACAGTATTAAACAGCATTTACAGGCCTGAATGTCCGAGAAATTTTCATAGAAAATATTCGTCCTTCGACAGGAATCGAACCTGTATCCTATACGGAACCGTCATATAGCCTGACGTCCTTTAAACGATTGAGCCACAAGTTAGCAAGGCCGATTTTACTGCTTTTAAACTACAATCTTCCATGAATCTCTCACGTACATTCATATCTACTCAAAGCCTATCCAAATGTAAACAAATGACGTCACACATTATGAAATGGACAAAGTCCGACAATTATTATCATTATTTTTATGTTTATACATTCTTTTTATAGGATACAGGTTCGATTCCTGTCAGAGGACGAATATTTTTCTATGAAAATTTTTCGGACATTCAGACCGGTAAATGTTATTAATATTGTTTATTATAAAACAGACCATTTACTTAAATATTTGTATCTATAAAAAGAATTTATAAACATAAAAATGTCTTAAAATAATATATATATATATATATATATATAATGAAATGGACAATATCCGACAATTATTTTAAGACATTTTTATGTTTATAAATTCTTTTTATAGATACAAATATTTAAGTAAATACTCTGTTTGATAATAAACAGTATTGCAACTTTTGAAAAATGATTCCAACTTTATAAAATCGTAAATAAGAAGGAATTCCTTGCATTTGGTTACAAAATAGTTTTATTTATCGCTTTATAAAATGATAAATATTGCATTGCATTAGTTTTAATGCAATTGTCTTTGTTCTTAGAATGTTGTAAATATAAAAAAATTATTCATCTAAACAAACAGATACTTAAGCAAGAGTCCAATGTCGTGTCTACCTTCTCTCAGAAAAGCAAACAATACACGCTGAAGCAACTTAAATTTCTCATAGGGGGTTTTTGAGGGTTTTTTTTTTACAGTCAGGTTCACCATTTACAAGGACTGGGAGGCACTCAAGGTAGATTTTGCATAGGTGGGGAAGATAACGGTTAACCTTCGACTGGAACAGGTTAAGCTTTTAGTGATCGGGGGAAACATTCTTTTGGGTGTTGGTTTCACAGAAGATTGAATCGCAGAAGAAAGCTGCTGGACTGAAACGTCACAAAATGAATACGGAGGGAAAAAGGGTGGCTTGCTATATGTGTCACGGCGGGTCCTAGCCGTGAAGGATAGAAATGGTAGAACGAAGGAATCGAAGTAGTAATAGAGCAATAAGAGGCTTGCCATATCTCGTCTGTGACAGAGCAGTTGGAGGGTGGAAAATAATTCGTCATCTGCAAAGGGACTATTTGAATACACCATTCTATTCTAAGGGATCTGAAAATCCTACCCGTATTTATTGTTGTTTGGCGTAATCTTAACCGTATAAGATGCGCAGATGAAACATTTGGTGAGGGTCGACTCTGAAAGAAGACTACAAGATCTCCTGGTTAGATGTTGGTTGTTTGTGTTTAGCGACATCATCTATGGGTTATTTATAAGCGGAAAGTAGTCACCCCCTGATGTCCCCATACATACATACGAACAGATTGAGATAGATAGATAGATAGATAGATAGATAGATAGATAGATAATGAACTGACATAACTAGGTAGCTTGCTAGATAGATAGATAAATATGAACAGACTGGGATATATATATATATATATATATATATATATATATATATATATATAGATAGATAGATAGATAGATAGATAGATAGATATGAACAGACTGAGATAGATAGATATATAGATATGAACAGTCTGAATTAGATAGATAGATATGAACAGACTGAGATAGATAGATAGATAGATAGATAGATAGATAGATAGATAGTGTTTTGGCATCTTACCCATAATAATAATAATGGACAATTCCATACTTAATAAATACTGCGCCTCAGTCAGTAAGCAAGTAATCAGTAGTTCAAGTCGAGTCAAGAGTCGAGTCAGAGGCAGTCCGAAACAGAGTCGCGTTCAGACAATTACTACAAGACATTGGAATTGTGATACTGGTCGAGACTACATTGTTCTCTCTACTAAACCTGATTGTTCATACTAACACTTTCTACTTCTCTGTATATATTCCTGTTTGTAATATATCTGTGTTATTACATACCTGTGTTCGAGTTCTTCTTTATTGGTTATACCTTGGTCTATCACCGTGGTATAAGGAACCGGACCACAACAGATAGATAGATAGATAGATAGATAGATAGATAGATAGATAGATAGATAGATATAAACAGACTGAGATAGGGAAACATATTCCTGTGTATGGAAGCGTTGCTTGAGTGATTTAAAATTACATGAGCCGTGAGTTGAATACAAGAGGGATTCACTGAAACTGAGGAATTGGGAAGAGGTATGGCACATGGAATTAGAACAATCTACCCCCGTGGACTGAATAAAGGACTCGGTTCGAAATCCTAATTAATATTACTTGACGGTGCCGGAGCGTACAACGGCCGTAACGTCATGAATATGGGAAATAAGGATGAGGACAACAGTCCAAAAAATATAAATATTTACAACACCTCATCTCTGAAATATAGACAGATCCTGAAGAACGCCGCAGCGTGCAGCAGCCGAAACGTCGTGACTATGACAATTAAGATAAAGGCAGCAGCCGGAACGATGTAAATATTGTTAATAGTTACAATACTTCATCTCAGAAATAGAGACAGAAGCGAGATAGATATGATCAAACCTTGCTAGAGAGATAGATACGTACATACATACATACATACATACATAGATATGAACAGATTGAGATAGATAGATAGATAGATAGATAGATAGATAGATAGATAGATACTGATTTCAGTTCTTTTATTTTAATCTAAATATATATTCGGACTTTGTAACCAATTCCTCATATCCATAAGGCCATCTTAGTCCGGTTGTCAAGGATTATACTGTATTTAAAATTGCAGTAGCCTGGTTCTGAATTTCATTCAAGATTGTTTTAGGAGTTGCCATAGAAGGATATGACTACACAACCCCAAAAAATCAAATTTAACTTGCGTTGGCAGGACTAAGATTTTGCTTGGTCAACCTTTTCATACAGTATTTTTCTTACCAACGTTTTTTTTAACCAGAAACTACGAACTTATACGAGTTATATTAAAATTCCTTTAAGCATTTTTTTTCGTCAGTGTTTTTTTTTTTTTTTTTCGACGACCGGATGATGTCTCAAACTCGCCACGTTTTTTCCTGGGAATCACAAAGATCACTCAAATATGCAACATCTAAAATCTAATGGTGCGGACTTTCCGAAACACCTTAGCAGACAAAAGTAGAGGCCGTCGCCGCTTGTTGAGATACCACGGAAATGAAGCCATATAAAAGAGTCGAAACGCCGTGCGTGGTCTGGTCACCAAATGCAAAGTCAGATCAGTAGACAGCCATCCATCCAGGCGGAAAATCCTTCTCTGATACTCGCAATCGAGGAACGAGTCTACACCTGATATCCGTTTCGAAAGTTTCCAGACTTTTCAGACTTTAAATGGAAATAGCGAATAAGCAACTCGCAATTCCACAGAATCGTAAATGGTACAGTACACATGTGTCAAAACTTTAGCGAGATATCTTCATCTAAAAGCACAGATCAATACCAATAATTTGAAATGTGCAAATGTACGTAAAAGCAGATCTATTGATCTTACTTATGAAAAGACCAACAGTGTAAATACATTGTCACTTAACTAATACCATAATTTCATAAAGTTACTATTAACTCTCTCTCTCTCTCTCTCTATCTATCTATCTGTCTATCTCTCTCGCTTTCTCTCTCTCTCTCTCTCTCTCTCTCTCACTATATATATATATATATATATAGTTAAATTCCCAGATCAATTCTGTGGACAAGACAAATTGGTATAAAATGACATTTAGAAAAAAAATATTAGATTTTACCGACGCGTTTTTTCTCTTCCGACATTTTCAAGGCAAAAATGAAATCGAAATGTTTTTGTTGTTATAGTTACATTTTGATTTAATTTTTGCCTTGAAAATGTCGGAAGACGAAACGCGTCGGCAAAATCTAAATTTTTTTTTCTAATTGTTATTTTTTACCACACACACACACACACACACACATATATATATATATATATATATATATATATATATATATATATAGTTTATGAAAAACTAGGTAATCTGTATGGGTAAACCCAAGGAGGATAAAATCCAGAGAGCTCAATGTAAATCCAGAGCAAATAATTTAAATAAATTAAAAAATTAAATTTAAATAAATTAAATTGCATTTTTTGTTTCAACTTTTAGAAGTAAATTCGGATGATCCGCAGTCCTTTAAAAGGGCTGTGGTGAAGTAATTTATTACATGGAACCTTAAAGTGGTCTGTTTTTATTTAAATTACACACACACACATATATATATATATATATATATATATATATAGATAGATAGATAGATAGATAATTTTCACAAAGGCTGTCTTCGGCAAATCTGTGGGGTAAACCTAAGCGACAGAATGGCAAATGCAGACCTTTTCATCATTTTTGATATTGATGGTATTGAGTCCTTTCTCATAAAATCACAATTACGCTGGACAGGTCATGTGTTACGTATGCAAGACAACAGAATTCCAAAAATGCTCATGTATGGTCAACTTGACAATGGTCATCGAAACATGGGTCGGCCTTTGCTTAGGTACAGGGACAAGCTGAAAAGTAACCTCTTAGCTGCGAATATAAATCACACTACCTTTGAGAACATCGTAATTGATCGTAATGAATGGAAGATTACATGCTACAATGGCATCAAGAACAAGGCAGCATCAAACATTGTCAAGCTTCGTCAAACTAGGGAAAGGAATAAAATATCTGCTGCTGTTCCAGCCATATACTCCAAGAATCCACATTCTTGCACAATCTGGACTTCTTTGCAAATCACTTGCGCGACTGAAATGTCACTTGCGACGCACACACAAGGTTAAATAAACAAAGTTGTTGGAACCTCATACGTCGAAACCGACGGAAGAGTCCATCATATCATATCATATATATATATATATAGAGAGAGAGCGATGGTTAAATTGCCGCCATTTTTAATTCCACGCAGGCGTATTGGATTTTTTTTTTATTTTCTCGACTGCTTAGTATAATAGGGTCAATTGGGTTTCGTCTATTAGAAAAAAATCACTATGACGCACTTACCCCGCCAGAAATTTAGAACGGCATTCTGTATTGCTTGGCATTCGTGAAGCAACCTCAAGTACGAATATCCTTCCTGGGTATGACGATAAACTACATCCGCGTCCAGGGTAAGACGATAAACTACGTCCAACAGCAAGGCCTCTGATCAGGAGGCTTTGAGGAGCGGGGAACCTCCTCTTAATTGCTGGTGTTCCCAGGTGCAACCTAACCCAGGTTGGTAGCACCTGTTAGGGTCCCAGCTATGGGTAAATAGTTAAAAGTTTATAAAAGCGTAAAAATAGGTTTTAATACCAGAAATACTTTGTAAAAAATTATTACCAGAAATAAATTTTTGAAGAAAAAAAAAACTATTGCCAGCAAATATATTTTTGAAAAGAAATATTGTCAGCAATACGTTTTTGAAAAAAAAATTACTTGCAATATGTTTTTGAAAATAATATTACCAGGTATACATTTTTGAGGAAAAATATATTGCCAGAAATAGATTTTTGACAAAACAAAATATTACCAGAAAAAAAAAAGAAGAAAAGTTGTCGGCATTAAATATCCCATTGAGGTTGATATGCCGTAAAACAAAGCAAACTAGTACGAATATTTCAGTCTCTTTGGGTGTCAATCTGAGGACACTACTGAGGATTCGGAAAGAGCTGGATGAGTCTAATGGTGATTACGAATGTGTTTGGAGTGATCACTAGTGATGACGAAGTTATACCTCTATTCATCTTCCCACGGGGCCTCAGACGCTACACGCAGGCCAACATAAAGGGCCTTTGAAGAATTAGTGCTTCCCTGAGTCAAGAGGGCTGTTGCTAGGAGACCTATGTTTGGTAACAGGACACTGCACTACAAATATGAGGATCTAGTCATGGCTATCAGACAATTTCTGTGACCCGACACCCCTGCAATCTGTTCCCCTAACTTCCCAGACTGCAGCCCCCTTGATTATTATGTGTGGGGTACAATTGAGCAAGAGACCCAGAAAACCCCCTGTAACACCAAAGATGAAATGAAAGCAAGGATTATGGCAGCATTCTCCAACTTAAACAAGGAGACCGTTCAGAAGAATTGCAGGAGATTCCGACGTTGTCTGGAGGCCATAGTTGAAATCAATAGCGATTTTACTCAATAAATTTACTCTTTAGTATTTCAAGACATTTCTTTGTAATTTTGGTAAATATATATGTTAAAATGTGATGTTAGCGTTATATAACACGAAAGGATTTTGCGGGAATGTTCTATATATCCGAGCACTTTCTATATATCCGAGCACTTTCGGCTATTCTATTAGAAAATGCTCGGTTATATAAAACATTCGAAACGTTTTTGCATGCTTTATGTCCAGCAAGCAAAACTCTTATACGAATAGAGAAAAAAGGAATAAAGAGTTTAATGAGTGGTTAGGTTGAATTTCTTTAGCGGCACATCAACACCTCTGTGAGTTTATTAAATGCCGAAATCTAAATATTTTGAACACAATTTTATGGTTGCAATTAATTATATTTTGAACGCAAATGTATGCTTTTAACTTTAGAAAAATATATTGTTGGCAATTCTATTATAAAATGTATTGTTGTTCATTTCGCTATAAAATGTATTACTGGCAATTCTACTATAAAATGTATTGTTGTTCATTTCGCTATAAAATGTATTACTGGCAATTCTACTATAAAATGAATTGTTGTTCATTTCGCTATAAATATATTACTGGCAATTCTACTATAAAATGAATTGTTGTTCATTTCGCTATAAAATGTATTACTGGCAATTCTACTATAAAATGTATTGCTGTTCATTTCGCTATAAAATGCATTACTGGCAATTCTACTATAAAATGAATTGTTGTTCATTTCGCTATAAATATATTACTGGCAATTCTACTATAAAATGAATTGTTGTTCATTTCGCTATAAAATGTATTACTGGCAATTCTACTATAAAATGTATTGTTGTTCATTTCGCTATAAAATGTATTACTGGCAATTCTACTATAAAATGTATTGTTGTTCATTTCGCTATAAAATGTATTACTGGCAATTCTACTATAAAATGTATTGTTGTTCATTTCGCTATAAAATGTATTACTGGTTATTCTACTATAAAATGTATTGTTGTTCATTTCGCTATAAAATGTATTACTGGCAATTCTACTATAAAATGTATTGTTGTTAATTGTTTTCATTTCGCTATAAAATGTATTACTGGCAATTCTACTATAAAATGTATTGTTGTTCATTTCGCTATAAAAAATATTACTGGCAATTCTACTATAAAATGTATTGTTGTTCATTTCGCTATAAAATGTATTACTGGTTATTCTACTATAAAATGTATTGTTGTTCATTTCGCTATAAAATGTATTACTGGCAATTCTATTATAAAATGTATTGTTGTTCATTTCGCTATAAAATGTATTACTGGCAATTCTACTATAAAATGTATTGTTGTTCATTTCGCTATAAAATGTATTACTGGCAATTCTACTATAAAATGTATTGTTGTTCATTTCTGCTATAAAATGTATTACTGGCAATTCTACTATAAAATGTATTGTTGTTCATTTCGCTATAAAATGTATTACTGGCAATTCTACTATAAAATGTATTGTTGTTCATTTCGCTATAAAATGTATTACT